CAAGAGTGGTTGGCATCTTGTGGTTTAAGCTAGACCGGGATATTTGCACCTTTTGGTCAGACACATCCAATTTCAGCAAACGCCTAATAAATCAGCTTTTACCTTGTGCTTGCAGACTGGGGTGGGGCAGAGGATCTATTTTATTCTCTAACAGAAGTTACAACAGTTTGTGTCTTGTGCATGTAGCATTCTCAGAATTAAACTGTCCTTGGTTGAACAAGGCACAAATGTCAAATGCATGCTGCTTCAGAAATCACCCGCAGATGCAGTAAGTTTGTTTAATAAAGCATATGGTGATACAGCAATGAAGAAATCACAAGTTTTCTGTTTAGTGGCATAAGTGTTATAATGATAAACATAGTGGGCAATTGCTACTGTGATAAACAATAAAAATGTGTTCAGACCACTGTTTATGATGACAGAAGACTTAGTGTCAAGAAAGGAACCTCAAAAGTTGGAATATCAGTTGGAAGTTGCCACAGTATTCTCCCGACCTGGCACCAACTGAGGTTTTCTTGTTCTCTTGCCTAAAATCAGCACTGAAAGTGATTCAAGAATGCTGAGGACGTTATCGCTAGTGCAACAAAGCAGCTGAAAGAGGTGTCAAAGAATGTTGGCAAAAGTTTGCAGTTGCTGAAGGGAACTATTTTGAAGGAAATGTAGTGTAAATAATTGTATTGTTACTTATTTCTACATAATACACAAATTCTTTGAATTTTTTATGCTACCTCATAAAACTCTGCCTCATAAATTATCCTTTGAAAACTTTTTACACATTAACTATACTCACAAAGGTCTTGAGAAAACCTTTTACATGAATTATCCATAGACATATATCTTGAGAAAAAGTTTGACATAAACTATCTATAGACATAGAGGTCATGAGAAAACTTTTGACATAAACTATCCACAGACCCAAAAGTCTTGAGAAAACATTTTACATAAACTATCCACAGACACGAAGGTCTTAAGAAAACTTTTGATGTAAACTACCCACAGACAGAGAGGTTATGTAAAAACATCTGACAATGCAATAAACTGCAAAACAAATCCTTTCATTCTCCACGACACAAACTGTCTATCATGACCAAACAATCATCAGAGAATGTATTTTCTGATCTACTGCTAGTTAACGTTAAACATAAATACAAGTTAATATTGAATTAAATCTCTTTTTTTTTTTTTTTTTTTTACGTATCCAGAAACTATGAGTTGTAAACCCTTTGGCTCGGTACTATGGATATCGCAACCCTTCGGCATTGATTCCATTATAGGTACCGTAAATCTGGGAGAAATGTGGCTTTTCTGCCTACCCCCGGGAGTGAACCCGGACCACAAGGAGTTCGTCACCCGGCCGCCGCAAAAGTCAGGTTTAACCAAATTTGCTAGAGAGCCGGGCAATTAAATCTTCTTAAAGTATATGCCATGTGAGGCTGGTAACCATGTCTGCCCCATAGTGTTCTGTCCCACTCAATGTCAATTATTTCAGATATGCTTATTCTACTATGCCACGATACCGAAGACTGTTTGTCTTCGTCTGCCTCTCTTCCCATTCAAACTTCTCACTGCCAGGACACCATGCCAATTTTCCCTTCTTTTGATATGCTCACAAAATGTATACTGCCCTTCTGGTGTGGGTAATCAGTTCTCTTTAAAGTTAATTTGTTTCACGACATTCACACTGTCATGATCTTGATAAACACTCAACTGGGAGTACCGGATTAAATATTTCAAGCCAAGATTGCAGGTATGAATGCTAAGACTTGAATAGTGAAAATGTGTTGCACAGGACTGTTTTGATGATGAATGGGGGAAATGAAGAACAACATGACTAATGTTGGTCGACAGTGAGAAGAGTAAGACAAAAAATGCAGTATTATTAACAAAGTCTGTGATTGCAGTTTAGTATTGCTCGTCTATTAAATTAGAAGTAAAGCAATTGGTTGTCAATGTCGATTTATTGTATACTGGTGAACGGCATATGTGTTCTGTAATACAAGACCTTGAATATGGAGTAAGATTATTTTCACAGCACTCCTAACACATCCATAGGCGCTCTGATTCCCCTCTCAACATATTCATCAGCATCGTGCGGTTGACAGTGACAGTCCTATGTTGGTCAACAAGACTTTGTGTGCGTCCGGTGTGCTTCTCATGCTTAGCTGTGCCGATCTTTACTCCCAATTCGCGTATTCTTAGCAGTGATGTGGACACGTTACTTCCAAAATCCTCTGACCATCCTATCTCTCTAAGGGCATGACAATGTCTGCATGATCCATGGGCCAGCCATCTTCAATTAATGCAGGACCTGCCAGTCTATCAGCTCTTTCATTACCAACAACGTCTGCATTCCCTGGGATGAATATGAAGGTAACTGCACACACAGGAGAGTTTTGCAGTTACTCAAACCACTGTCAGAGGAACCAGCCTGCCTCGACCCGCTGGATCAAAGAGTCACTCAGCACACATATGCGGGAATAGTGCTGTGATTCTAGCCACATAAAATTTGTGTCATTGCCATCACCTCCATCGTCACGCTGCTGGTGGTCATGGAGAAGGCATCGCTGGCTTCTTGAAATGTTCTGCCAGAAGAACGAGCTGTAAATGTCCATGCACTCTTATGTCCTTGTATAACGGACCCGCCTGTGAAGATCACCACATCAGTCTCATCTGACTTGTCACTGTTAAGCGCACAAACCTCGGCATTGACAGCAGCTGGATTCTGCTCCCGACAACTAATATCGAGCGTCACAACACAGGAGAATGTGAGATTGAGCGCTTTAGATGCTGGTATCCATTCCTCACCTGGATGGACGTCTGTAAGGTTGCAAACCTGCATGATGTCATCCTCTGCCCTACCCAGCCATGATTTGCCCCTTTTAAGTCTATTGCCCTTTTTCTTGAAGAGCATGTGTTGCAAAAGGTGCTTCAGATCTGAGCTTATCTTGAGATATGCACGAGCCCTCCAGACTTTGATCCTGTAGTTCATGGTAGGGAAGTCAAGAAGGTACCTCACTACTACACAAGAGGTGTCTCCAGTGCACCCCAGAATAATGAGCATTGCTTCAATTTGCACCTTCTCAAGTCTTTCAATTATGGCTGACAGTGAGGATGGCAAGAGCATATTCGATGGGAGAAAGGACAAGTCCCTGGAACAGAAGCAGAAGCAATCTCTGTGTTAGCGGCGGCCAGGACCCTCACTGCTGAGAGGCCTTTGAGTGTTTTTGTTTTCACTAGGCAATTTTTACATTCAGCAGTTTGCAATTTCTTTTCTAAATGGTTGGCTCTGGATACCACTGTTGAACAAATGCAATGTTGTCTGCTGCCCAACTGACCGCAGCTGGGATCCAACTCAGCACCACCAAATTACAAATACATAAAGACAGATGCCAACATAATTCCTATACATGGCAAAATTCAGCAGCAAGCTAATCAAAGTCAGAGCTAAAGAAACTCATGTTACACAAATGTTATCGATTACAATTCCTGTGCGTCACAAAATTTAGTGCTGTGTTGTTTGTCTTTCACGAGGGATGAAGACTACTTTTCATCCCAAGTAGTTATGATCAATGATTATGATAACGAAGGTGGCTGATTAGTCCAATATGAGCCTGGAAAGTTCTTGAGCAGTGCGGACAACAGGTGGAAGCCGCAGTATATGTGGGATTAACAATACGGTTCTTTCCAGTCAGCCTTGGTTTCTTTGCCTGTGCAACCTCCGTTGCTTGGCCGGACGCACTATGCCTGAGGAACGAATGCCATCCAGAATGGTACTGTGCAGCAGCCTCCCATGTCGCTGTGTTGAAACAAAATTCAGTAGCTAACCAACCACAGACAGAATGGTCCTATGCCCCAGCCTCCCATGTCGCTGTGTTGATACAAAATTCAGTAGCTCACCAACCACAGACAGATCTATGGAAACACATCCCACACAAATACTATCATCTACAATCCTTGCATTTTGTTTCAGTTCATTAAAATATTGTCACCCCGTGTGGGTTTTGGGGGCCCAATTGTGGGGAAAAACAAGAATAGACCCCACTGCCTACCCTACAAGCATGTCGTAAGAGTCGACTAATGGAGGGCTTCCTTCGAAGTCGGAGTGCATCTGCCTCAGAGGCAGGGAACAAAACATCTGCATACAATTAGGTCAATAAAATCTGGAGAGGGTGGGGGGGGGGCTGCGTGGTCTCGAGGCAGGGCGACCACCTTGAGTGCTGGAGGTCCCAGGTTCAAGCCCCTGTGAAGGTTGGGATTTTTCAAGTGGACTTCTAGTAATTTCCTCTGGTCTCTGGGTAGTAAGATCAGATGCCAGTGTGTATTGCTGCGCACATTAAAATTCCCTTGGCAGCTGTAAATTAAAAAAGAGTAGCCCGAAAGTGCTGCCTGGGCAACAATTTTGAGTTAAAAATCAACTTAAAGTATTTCAGGATTCTCGCCGTTGCTATGGAGCTCGTGCACTGCACTGCGCTGAGATTCTTCGGACTCAGGCTTCAGTCAGAAGCAGAAGGGAGCACTTAAGGGTTACTACCTTTGTGCAATAAGGCTGATCCGTCGTCTACACCTAAACCAAAACAATTAGGTCAGATCTGTTAAATGATGTGCACGCAACACTCAAGTTCTGGAACAAATAAAGTCCAGAAGTGGACAAACAACCAGAACATTCCGCCCGAGTTTACAGCCAGTGAACGTGAAGAAGAAGAAGAAGAAAGAAGAAGAAATCCTTGCATGTTGTTTCAGTTCATTAAAATATTATGCTGTGGATATTTTACAAATGGTTTATAATTCCCAGTCCGTGGTGAAGCAGTAATACATTATTATTGTCTCATGTTGCATATGTGTCAGATACAATAAAAAATATTCAACATAACAAGCAGGGCAGAGTCGTATAAATACAAATCTTCAAGGATAACAATGTCTTTTCTGTCATATATTAACCTACACAAAACGAAATCTGGAATCCTCATATTTCACATAACCTTCGATGAACTGTTGAGCTCTTACAGACTCTGCATGGGTCTTAGATTGGGGGAGACCTGAAAAAAAGAAAAAAGAAAGTTATAATTATTACTGAAGTTGGTTGATGGCGTTGGCTGATAACCTACGTTCCACTGAGAGTTAAAAGGAAAAAAATTAACAATAGAAAAAACAGAAGATAATAATGATGATGATAAAAATAAGAAAATAAGTAAGTTCACAAGCTCAAATATTTAGAATAGTTAACCAATACTATAAGTAAAGTAAGTAATTAAATAAAGGACCTTTTTCCAAATTGGGCATAAAGGGTAAGACCAATATTTTATGATCAATAGGCACTCGGTGGTTGATGTGTTCCAACATCACGCCGGCCACCTACTTCCCAGGACTGTACCTGGTACCCATTTAAGACTGGGTCAACTTGGGAGCCAAGGTCATTTTAGAAGAAGAAAAAAAGAAGTCTGGCTCTATCAGGACCTGAACCTATGACTTTCCAATCTGTAGATGAGTGTCTAACTGCTTCACCACGATGCTCCCCAACCTACAAACTTTACTGATGGGAAAATAAAACCACATATTTCCAAGGAAGAAAATGAGAAATATTATGAACCTGTGGGGGAAAAAAAGTACAGATTATAATCTTGAAGAGGCCAGTATCAAAATGTTAGATCTTGAACAACTGTAGTCAGACTCTCACAAAAACTGGTACCACAAAGCAAAGTGAACGCAATGTACATCCACTGATTGGCACTCACAAAAGATAACAAAACCAATTTACGGGCACTACAGTGGCAAGCCGCTAGACATTCGCCTGTTGATCCCAACATCTAGGGTTCAAATCCGCACTGAAGGAGTTTCTCTCTCCAAAACTGATCTTGGTTCCCAGGTTGATTCAGCCCGATATGGGTATCACGAATGTTCTGGGAAGTAAATGTGGGTTGGCATTATGTTGACCACATCACCCATTGAGTGCTGATTGCTTTAGAAAAATACAGGTGCGACACTAAATGCCTGATGTGCTATGAAAAAATCCCTTTGCCTTAACTGTCTGTATCTACCATTTTTGCGGTGTAGGCAGGTGGGGTCTTTTAGCCTGAAGATTTAGGCCCGCATGGTTAGTGCTGTCACCTAGGACTGTGCAGGTTAGGGTTTCATTATTATTATCAATTCTAAAAGAAAAACAAAACTTGACCATGTTCAACTTGCTGTTGGCAGCGAGCTGCCAACAACCTCTGGTTATATTTGTGATCTGGTTTATCTGTGCCACTTGCGTGGCTAAGTTTTAGGTATTTGCACCACCTCTCTGGCTTTATGTCCTATCTTAATGTACAGACCGTTCCTTCCTATATATTTGTCCCAGTGTGTTTTGTGTGTGTGTGTCCTATCTATCTATCTATTGTCTTCTTCACTTTTACCGGGTTGCAGCCCAGTGTCGTGGTTTAAAATATATGTTTTTTTTGCCTCTCGCGTGATTTAAGTGACAGTTTTCTGGATCTTCTGGCCGTATTCAGCTATTCCATCTATCCATTTTTCCTGGGTCTACCTCTGACCTTTCTTCCCGATGTTCTACTGTAAAAGGCCTTATAGGCAATCTGATCCGGTTGCATTCTTACTAAATGGCCAAACCACTTCATTCTCTGTCTTTCAATATGTTTTATGCATGCTCTTGTTCCAACTTTGTCTCTAATGCTGACGTTTGTGACTCTGTCTCTTCGTGTATTGTTGGTGACTCTTCGGAGACATCGCATTTCACACGTAGTTATTTTTTTGCATATGTGATTTGTTCATTGTCCACGTTTGGCACTGATAACATAACGAAGGGATGAAAATGCTGTTGATCATCCGGTGTTTGGCTGGTAACGAGATCTTTGGATGACGAAGAAGTGGGGCCAGTTGGTAGTTGACTGCATTGGCTTTTTGAACTCTAGCCTGTATCTCTTTATTGAGTCTTCCATCTTCTGTAAATATGCATCCTAAGTACTTGAATTCTTGAACTTGTTCTAGTTGTATGTCATTGATCTTTATGTTTACATTACTGTGTTTCTTTCCTATGGTCATTACTTCAGTTTTCGAGGTGTTTATTTTCATGTCAAATTTTATACAGTTAGAGAGCAATGAATGTGTGTGTCCTTAACTTCCTGATATTTTTCCTCCGCCTAGTTCAGTCTCCTTAGTATCTTGCCCTTGTCTTCTCTAATGTTTTTCAGATTTTATTAAAAAGTCCCTTACTTTTAATGAAATAAATTGAAAACCAGCAGCAATAATTGTTATGCTTACCTTGACTTCACAGCCGGTGCTTTTGTTAACTTCCTCTACAGTGACCCCATCAGCAATTTCTGTCAGCCTCAGCCCCGACTTTGGTGATATTTCAAACACTCCCTGCAAGCACACAACACTACAGCTGAACAAATCTTCTGTGCTATATCAACCCCCATGGTCAAAGATTACAACCTTTTTGCTGATACTAATGGTGTAAAACATAGTTAACAATGATGGCCAAAAATTACAACCTTTTTGCTGATATTAATAGCGTAATACAGACTAGTTAGCAATGATGGTCAAAGATTACAATGTTTTTGCTGATATTAATAGCGTGAGTCAGACTAGTTAACACTGATGGTCAAAGATTACAACCTTTTTGCTGATATTAATAGCGTGAGTCAGACTAGTTAACACTGATGGTCAAAGATTACAACGTTTTTTGCTGACACTAATGGCGTAAGACAGACTAGTTAACACTGATGGTAGAAGATTACTTTTTTGCTGACACCAATGGCATAAGACACACAAGTTAACCCTGATGGTCAAAGATCTAAAACTGCTAGAAAATATTACAGTTAAAAAAAATAACACTGAAGAAGATGACGAACACAAAATGAATGTGAAATATTTCTTACCAAATCAGTTATAATCATATCTACACAGCCTTTCCCAGTTAAAGGAAGATTGCATTCCTTCAGAATTTTATGTTTACCTCCCTGTGGAAAAATTAAAATCAAAGGTTAAAAGTCATTCAGCTTTATAAATGGTGGAATTCAAGTTATTCTAGACAGATGTTTATAAACAATCAGAAAGATAGTTGTCTTTATTTTGTGTGTGTGTGTGGTTCATGTTATGAAAAGGAACTGGAACATGTTGTGACCACTGGAAAGATCCGTGGGAAAAATAAAAAAGATAAGAGAAAGACAATGCCAGATGATTCTTGATGGTCTTTTGTCGTGGCATGAAGAGGTGTCAATGCACACACTGATACATGCTGTTGAAGATTGCAGATTGTGGAGAAGCCTGATCGCCCACACCAGTCAGCAAGGCACTAGACGATGATGATGATTCTATAAACATTCATCATTTATGACCCATATTCTGAAGTCACATGTTCATTGACAGAAAGACAGTATTCACAAACAGTACTTCATGATAGAAAGATAATATTCACAATTAGTACTTTATGACAGAAAGACTATTCACAATTAGTACTTCATGACAAAAAGACAGTATTCACAATTAGTACATGAACAAAACACATTTCTTTTTGCTGTCCTAGTTACAAATTTTAAATTCTCATTTACAAAAAAAAAAAAAAAAAAAAACTTAAAAAAACCATAAAGTACAGACTCTTAACTAATTTACTCTATATTATCAAATATTCCATGGTGAGTCGAGTTGGTGTAGTGGCTGCATGTTTGCCTGCATATCAGAAGGTCATGGGCTCAAGTCCTGGTGGTGCTATTAGGTCGATCCAGCCTTGAGTGGGTGCCAGGTACGGTCCTGGGAAGTAAAGGCGGCCGGCGTGATGCTGTCCACACCACCCATCAAGTGCCGACTGATCTATAAAATATAGGTATAGCCCTATATGGCCAATACATCTGAAGGCGTGAAAAACTCTTTTATTTATGAACTTTTACATCATATTCTTTGCTATCTCATGCAGCTCTCTGGCTAATATTCATTCCCATTAGTGAAAATAATAAACTTAGCAGCTTTTAAACTTCTTGTATGTGACATGTTAACAATCAGTAATATACATCTCACCTTAGCAGTATGTTCCATGGTGATGATAACTTTAGTTTTGTCTCCCGACACAAGATCCATGGCTCCGCCCATTCCCTTCACCATCTTACCCTGAAAGCAGAATTATGCAATAAATTACACACAGAAACATCTTTGCTAAAACCAAATCAGTGTTTTTCTTAGACATGTTTAAGAAGGAATGGACTCAAGAATTTGGTAACGACCATCAAGATTGATGGAAAGAAAGCAAGGGGAGGGCAAAGAGATATCTGGAACACCTGGATGCCTTGGTCATATGGATGGGGTGGGACAAGAACACTGACCTGATCTATGATTCTGGTGACTTTGGTGGGATAGCTAAATATGACAGCCTACACTTACCGCCCTGGCACAGGATGATGATAATAATGTACAATAATAAAATACATATTCATTAACAATGGGACAGAAAGAACAGATACTAAACATTCTTGTATCATGGCATGGAATGATATCAGCAACACAGATGATACACAGCAGTAAAGAGTGAATGTTATAGAGAGCCATGTTCAGTTCACAAGATCAGTGACAGAACCATGCTTGTTGGCTTCCAACTCAGAAAGATTATCTCTACATGTTGACAAGGATATCAGCAGGTGAAACTGTACTGCAAGAACACAATGATGAGCCAAGAATGTGTCCAACAAGCCATGTGCTTTCTATTTCAATCATGCTTAAGTGAAAATAAACAGAATTTACAAACATACCGACTCCTTATATCAAAGTATGATATGCACACAAAAAAACACAGTAAAAATTGAGGTAATGAGAATAGGCAGGAAACATTATAACATGAACGTTCATGTTAATTGTGCTACAATAAAAAAATTACGAGAATTCAAATATCCAGGAAGCATAGTTGCAGAAGATGGCAGACTCAGTAGAGATAGCAGTCAAAGTAGAGAAGGCAAACACTGTCGCCTACCAGTTAGCCCCACTGCTTTGACACCCAAAAATTTCCCTTCCAGCAAAACAGTAAATGGTTAATAGCATCTTTGCCCCTACTGTATGCTATCAGTGCCAAATATTGATAATGAATAAGGCATTAAAAAAAATCAATCTTTCTTGTGTGAAATGAGCTGCCTCCATAAGGTCACGAACAAAAAAAAAAAAAGGAACAGGGTCATGTATACCAGCATTAGAGAGAAAGTTGGAATAAGACCATGTCTGAATTATACTGAAAGAATTTTTAACCCTTTAACAAAGAATAAAATTGTTCAGCAATCTGGTGAGAATGCACCCAGACCAAAGTGCATATGATATTTTTTTTTACGGCAGAACATCTGGTAGGAAGGCAAGGGGACCAAGAAAAAGTGGGATAAATTATGTAGCTAAAACCTGGAAAAAACAAACCCCCACAGATAAACATATCCATTAGCCAAGCCACCAGGGAAGCGCAAGTCAACTACAGAAAACTATGACACTGGGTTACAAACTTGTAACACTGAGACTACAAAGAAAAGAAGACACATGCTTGGCTCAGTGCATTCTGCTTGTCCGTACAAACTATATATATATATATATATATATATATATATATATATATATATATATATATATATATATATATATATATATATATATATATATATATATACACACACACACACACACACACACGCACACAAGCATGTGTTAGCTAGCTTAAATCATAACTTCCAGTCCAACATGTTATGGAGTTGAGTGCCTGGTGCAACACTGCGAGCTGTGGATTTCACGTGGAATGTTTATTCATCTGTGACTACAGCATTTTTTTGTTGTCACATGTACCAAAAAAGGCCGGTTACGTTTGGACTGGTGTATGTTCTATGCAGTACTGCATGTGCAAATGTGGCTTGCCATGATAATCTGCTTCCATCAACAACGAACTGCTATTTTAGCGGTGAAATGTTAATGCCGGCACATACAGCGGCTGCCTTCGGTATTTATCTGTGTATGCGAGCTTCTAGATTTTGCTATGAATCATTTGTCGTTTACTAGTTTTAAACTGGACAGTGAAGGAAACTGTGTGTCATTTTCACTGGCACCAGAACGAAGCAATTATGGGGGGGGGGGGGGGGGGGTGGGGGGGAGGGGGGACCTATTCCTGTGAAAAAGAAAGGTCGAACCTCTGTCCTCATGTAGATTCCGGGGCTCCATTTAGAAGAACAACTAATAAATGCACTCCCCCCCCCCCCCTATTCCCCCCAAAAAAAAACATGGCAACTATTTAGGGGTGTCTCCTCCAAAGCCGTTTTTCTGCCTGAGAGAATTCAAGAGCCTGCCTACAAATAAGTACGGTCTGTAAAATGAGTGTGCAAGCAAAACTCAAGTTCCGGATGAAAGGGGAAAGTCAGGACTGGATGAACAACCATAACTTTCTGCCTGAGTTTACAGCCGGTAAAGGCTAAAAAGAAGAAGAGGAAGAATCTTGTTTAACTAATTGACTGGCTTAAATCAGCAGCAGGTATGTAATGAAAACCATGGAACTTCTCTGTACACCCTATGCCATCTGATCCCACTTACTGGTATCATCCAGTTGGCCAGATCTCCATACTCTGACACCTGCATGGCTCCAAGGATGGTCAAGCTGACATGGCCGCTAAATAGGATTGAGGAAATCATTTATTAAAAAGGTTAGCAACATTTCCTTAGGAAAAAGTTACATAGGAACTATATCTTCTTCTTCTGCTTTTCTAACCCAGAATGCAATATAGGCTCTCAACCAACTCATGCCAAGTCGTTCTATCCTTCACTATCGCAAGCAGCTTTCCCCATGCTCTCCTTATCTTCTTAACCTCACTCTCTTGTTCCCTTCACCATTTTTTTTTGGGGGGGGGAGGTGTTTCTCAGGCTTCCCTGCCTACGCCACAAAAGTGATAAATACGAGCACTAATGGGAGTTTTCTGGCAGAGCTGCCTAGTACTGAAAGAGCTGAGTGTGACAATTTCTATACTGTTTACATTTCATTATTATTATTTTATATTCTTGTATGGAAAAAAAACCATGTTTAAACCTGTTTAACACAACAGGAATAACGTGGACAAAAAAAAAACTAAAACACTTTAATACAAATAATTTAAGAGACTTACCCACGGATCATTGCGAATGACTCATCGGAAGAGAAGAATGAGCTGCCAGGTATGCTTGTTACTGTTTCCTTGCCAGCATTGATCAGATCAGGATCTTCTTCTCCAGGTTTGGGGAATGGGCCCTGAAGTTTGGATTTCAAATGATCTCATTCATCTCTTCTTCACTTTCTTCTTCACATTGACCAGCTGTAAACTCTAGTGGAAAGCTCTGGTTGTTTGTCCACTTCTAGACTTTGGTCTTGTTTCAGAACTTGGGTTTTGCGTGCACATCCATTTTACTGATCTGGTTTATTTGTATGCAGACTGTTAGTTCCTTGCCTTTTAGCTGATAAACACTAAGAAGAAGCAGAAAAATTCACTTCTTAGAAAGTTGTCTCAGGCCAACATTTGTTAGAGTGCTGGGAGAATACCAGGCAATGAGCAGCGAAGTGGTGAAGTAACAGGAGGCAGTGTTGATGTTGTTTTTGAGAACAAAGATGAATATTGTGGGCAAAGAACAGAATACATACTAATAAACTGGCAGGTGTAGGAATTATTTAATCTTTTACCACAGCCACACATACACACACAAAAGTCATGTTATCATGAGGCATGACAACAGAAGAGACAGAATACAGAAAGTAACCCTCATGACCAATGTGCAGGTCCTTTGCAAAACACTGCTCTCATCACCGCCCGCCTGAATGAAACTCAGTCTCTCACTAGATCTCCTGCCTCATGCACTTTTCTACCAGAGGTGTCACTTATATCCTGTGCCCATCTTTGGGCAGGTCGGTCTAGGTCCCTCTTTTCTGGCACCATATCATCGGCTACTATTCTTTCCGATCCACTGTGGCGCTTGATATCGCTAACATTTTTCAGTTTTCAAGATAAGATGCTGTTTACTAGCAAATTTTCCTTGATGTTCAAATGGTTTAGTGTGACAACACTTATTTGCTTCTTTCTCCATGGTATTCCGAGACTCCTTCTATAGAATTTAAGCTCAGAAGCCTTTTTCCCTTAAAAAACTGTGGAATAGTCCAACAAGTCTTTGAGATTCAGAAACAGATTTTGATCTTCACTGTGTGTAAAGTCCTGGCTGTCCACCTATTTGGACTCTGGCTTTGTGTGCCAGGGATTTTACATCCATTTTACTGGCTTATTTGTGAGCAGTAGGTTGTTCCTTGTCGCTCAGACAGATGCACTCTGACTTTGAAGGAAGCTCCCAATTGATCGACTCCTAAGACATGCTTGTTTAAGAAACAGTGGGTCTATTCTTGTTTTTCCTATAATGGTGCGCCAGAACCCACACAGGGAAAGATTAATTTGAAGAAGGCTAGGATTTCAGACATCTTTGTGAATAACTGGAGGATCTTTCCTGGTCATAGGCTGGATATTTTTTTCAACATAACAAGGATTTTAAGAAATAAGATATATAAAATGGTAAGGATTTCCAACATGAGAATTATATCTTATTAATAATAACTGATAATTGAAACTTAATCTTTTTCAAAGTTATATTTCTATAGGCACAATAACATTTACTGCCTGCCATTACTGCCTGTATGTATCACTTTTACAGTGTAGGCACTGGGGTCTTTAAGCCTGAGGATTTAGGGCAGCATGGCTAGTGCTGTTGCCACAGACTGTGCAAATTAGGATTTTATTTTTGCCCTGACAAAAAAAAAAAAAAAAAAAGATTCACATTATCAAGGATTCAAACCTGGGTCTCCCACATAAGAGTACAGTGTATTTAACCGTTCAGCCAGCCGCTCCGCATTAACACTGAATAAAACAGCTTGCTGATCAGAATTATGTTAATTCAGGTGAAGTGTACGCTTCCCTGCAACTGTAGTTCTCTGCTCTGATTTAATGGGTTACACTTGCAAAATTTCCAGACGACATTATCACCCCTTGGTCCTCTAATGCTAAACCCTCTGGTAGCGAAAGAGTTGAAAGTGAACAAGAAATGTCAGAGTTAGGAAAAACAAATACTCACCAGTCCCAGAATGCCGTTCTCACTGTGAATGTGGACATTCATGCCAGGTTTAATGTAGTTGCTGGCCAGCATGGGCATGCCAATACCGAGGTTGACTGTGTGCCAGTTAAGTTAATAAAACAGCTGCAAGGATACTTACTATCTTAGAGGTGTGAAGCATGTGGTCTTTAAAAAAAAACAACTATGTGCCATCTCCGCAAGGAAGGTTGATACAAGGTACCCAACTGCTGTCTTCAGGAACATTATGTGGTGAGGCCACCAATATCTTCCACTATACAACTCTCATACCATCGTCTAAATACTCCGAGAATATTTAACAAAATAAACTGTCTGCTGCAGAAACCACACAGCATCTGTCTGATGGAGACTGCAGGGTTCCCTGGAGATATTCCCATGAACAACATGGAATGCTAGCAGGATAAGTCTGTTCAAGTATTCATGCAAAGATCAGACTTTGCAGGACTGCTTTTGCAATATCAAGCACTACCATGGAGTGTAACAATCTGTCATGTCTTATGTGCTATGACAGTGATCTATATATATATATATATATATATATATATATATATATATATATATATATATATATATATATATATATATATATATATATATATATATATACATACACACACATACAAATATACATATACATGCATATATATATATATATATATATATATATATATATATATATATATATATATATATATATATATATATATATATATATATATATATATATATATATATATATATATATATATATATATATGGGAGTCACCATGGCATAGTGACCAGACTCTCCTATGAGGATCAAAAGGTCATGGGTTCACTTCCTGGTGGAGCTAGACTTTTTTCAAAATGACCTTAACTCCTAGGTCGACCCAGCCCCGAGTGGGTACCGGGTGCAGTCCCAGGAAGTAAAGGCAGCCGGCACGATGCTGACAACATCACCCATCTTGTGCCGATTGGTCTATAAAAATATATGTCTAGCCCTATTTGCCCTACACGCCTAATGGCGTGGAAAAGAAACCCTAACTTTACTTTTATATATACACACACACACACGTGTTTGTGTGTGTAAATAAAATGGTTGTAAGCGCGCACAGCAATTGAATCAGCATGGAACATAATAATTGTTTTTCCGTCATTAAACTATAAATGCATGTTAGTGATTTAAACATGGAAATGAGATGAACGAGAAAGCCTGTAGGTGTGAACAGAAGAGATAAAATCAGGAAGGAAGCCATATGAGGAAAAAGTCTGCACAGAACCAATACTAAATTCCACATAAGGACAGCAATTAAAATAGCTTTCCCATTCAGATAGAATGCCTTGTGAGGCAAATTCACAGAAGGCATAAACCAGAACACCACAGGCTCGAAGGGTATGAAGTAGACCAAGAACAAGATGGAAAGGCGTCAGAACAAATTTTAAGAGTTGAGGTCAAGAGAACTGGTCCCAGTGCACCTAGTTTTATCCTGTATGACTCAGTCTATCTCAGCAGAATGGCTTCATGCTTGCCAAGACCATCTCACAAAGCACAATCCCCATAGCTACAACGATGTTTCCCCAGGATTTCCATAAAAATTACATAAAACAAACCATAACCTTTACTGCATGAGGTAAAGTGCTTGATCACCGAGACCTCTGCAACAGTACAACGGGACAATGGCCAAGGCGGCTAGAAGAGCAAGAAGCAGAACCTCACATCTTCTTCGACACCTGAAGCAACAAAATAAGGAAGTGAGGAGGCACCACAGAGAGCAATGTTATACAGATACAGTAGTAACAGAGCCAGAGGTCGACCACACAGAACCTCACATCTTCCTCGACACCTGAAGCGATAAAAAGAGGAAGCGAAGAAGACAGATTTTACAGCTGTGGAAAATACTGCAGAAGGTCATAAACAATCATAGATTAGCATAAAAATACAGCACACGGAGTTCCACTAATTACCAGCAAGGATACCATACATCCCATCCTGAAATTCGATTGCTGCTCTCTTGACAATTCTCTCCCTCATCAGCTGAGCTGGACTAGGAGGAGCACTGTCCTTAGTCTGGGGTTTGGTGAGTGTCAGGCGCTGTGGAGTCCACGAAGCGGGTCACATTTATTTACCAGTATATACAATCTAAGATTGGCATCAGACAGGGCGCCATGGAGAGCAATGTTATACAGATACAGCAGTAACAGAGCCAGAGGTCGACCACGCAGAAGATGAACCACAGAAATATCAGACACTGAAAAGTACTTTATACGAAGCAAACAGAAGGGCACGTTTCAGAGATCTTTTCCTGCCCTAAAAATCTATATTCCACTGTCCATCTGTGAGAAGCTAGTCTACCAACTAGCTTGAATGAAACATTATGTACACAAAACAGAATGAAAAGCTTTGCTCTTAGTCTACATCACAACAACTAGAATGATCAATTAAAATCCTACAAAAACTGGAAATTACACTCATTCATTCATTCAGTATCATGCCTCTCGCGGAACCTCGCTGCCATAACAACCCTCCGGAAAACCTTCCTATCGTGAGCAAGATGTCCTGCGTCTGATACACCCATCTGGAGATCATCTGCCACATACTGCACCCATCTTCTCCTTGGCCTTCCTCTTCCTCTCTTCCCAGGCATATACCCCTCCATTATTGTTCTCTCTAGACTTCCATGACCAAAATATTTCAATTTTCTTTGTTTTATTGTCTTTATTAGCCAACCCTCTTCAATATTCAGCTCTTGAAGTATGGATGCATTTGTTCTTTTCTTTACCCAAGATATTCTTAGAACCTGTCTGTAACATTTATATTCAAATGCATTTATGCGCTTTTCCGCAGGCTAGTGTAATTGTGAGAAATGCTCGTAAGTAAACCTTCTTTGGAGGCTGAACAGAGGTTATCTGGGATTTGCTCTGTTGGCTTGACATCCAGATTATTTTGTAATCTCTGAGTGGTCAAATCAATAGACAGCAGCACAGAGGAGACAAATGAACAACAACACACACGCACAAAAGGAAGTATACCTCAATTCTCTTTTGGTAGTTCGATCCTTTGACAACCCTTTGAACATAGATATGGGGCACATGCACATCTTCCGGGGGAATGGAACCGGTTTCAACAATTTCTTCTACTTCAGCTATAGTGACCTGTCCAGCTTTGCAAATTGGAGGGTTGAAGTTACGCGCCGTTTTTCTACAAAGTGAGCAAAATGCACACATTTTAGCAATAAGGCAAAATAATGAAACTGTTCATTAAAAAATTTTAAATATCAATTCTCTGACCATCAAGAAGTGAACAAAGTCGCGCTTTTCATGGTCTAGTCGAGTGTGTTCTTCAACCAGTGATCAGCCAAGAATTTATGGCTAATCATGTGGCTGTTTCATAATTTGAGCACTAAATTGCTGCATAGATTTTCTAATCTCTAACCAGAGTAGATGTCGCAATATATCTCCTTCATTGAAGGTTAGAAAAATATTTCTTGCTTGCTACATACATCCAGTTTTAACATATGGCTGGGAGTCCTGGATAATCAGTAGGCAGGCCAAATAATTTCTTGAGGCCTCAGAGATGTGGTTTAACAGAAGAATGCTTAAAATACCTTGGACAGCCAAAAAAGAGCAACTCAGATGTTTTGAAAGAGGCGGGAGCCTGAAGACAAATTATCACCGACATCAGAAGGAGACAGTCATCATTTTTCGGTCATGTTATGAAAAGAGGGAAAATGGAACATGCTGTGACCACTGGAAAAATCTGTGGAAGGATGGATAGAGGAAGACAAGGAGAGAAGATTCTTGACAGTCTTGTTGGATGGAATGGAGATCTGTCAGCACACAAACTGATACATGCTGCAGGAGATCACAGATTGTGGAGAGGCATGATCGCCCTTGCCACTCGGCATCTGATGATGATATTTTTTCTTCAGCTGTGAGGTGGTTGAAGAAACATTTTCCCATGTTTTACAGGTCCAGGAAGCCGCGACCTCTTCAAAGGGGCAACACGAAATATTTTAAGATACACTAGGTTTTTTTTAAATGTTAAAAAAATTTCTTACATACGAATAGTCATACTTTTACTTAGGTTAGGGCGCCGAGGACAAATTTTAATTGAAAAAAGGCAGCGTGACTATGAAAAGTTTGGGAAACACTTGTGTTAACAAAACAAAAACAGTTGGAGTACACTGGTCTAGTTCAAACAATTTCACTTTATTCATCACCAGACCAGATATCCAAGAAATATCCAAAGTTGTGACAGGGATATTTTACTTTACAATTGTTGGTGGCTTAACCCCAATGTTCCAAATGATTAAACTGCTTGCCATAGGCTGTGAAGGTCATGACTGCAATTTTTAACTAGGTTATTTAATTTATAAATACAAGTGTTTCTGTGATTTCTTAGCGTCAACAATAGCAGCTACAGAATTTATTTTTCACTGCTATTCTTTCCAGTCAAAGAGGATGTTCTACCTCATCTTTCCACCTTTCCAGATTATTGTGTCACTGGCAAAAGCCGAGTGTGATGGGCAAGAGCAGAGTGTAACAGGCAAGAACCGAGTGTGACGGGCGAGACCCGAGTGTGACTGGCAAGAAACTGAGTGCGTGAAACAGGCAAGACAAAAGTGTGACTAGTAAAACCGGAGTGTGACTAGCAAGACCTGAATGTACTAGCAAGATCCAAGTGTGACTAGTAACTAGCAAGACCTAAGCGTAACTAGTAACTAGCAAGACCCAAGTGTGACTAGTAACTTTTAAGACCTGAGTGTGACTAGTAACTAGCAAGACCTAAGTGTGATTAGCAAGACCTGAATGTGGCTAGCAAGACTTAGGTGTGACTAGTAACCAGCAAGACCTAAATGTGACTAGTAACTAGCAAGACCTAAACTAGTAACTAGCAAGACCTAGGTATGATTAGCAACTATCAAGACCTAGGTGTGACTAGTAACTAGCAAGACCTAAGTGTAACTAGCAAGACCCGAGTGTGACTAGAAACCAGCAACATCTAAGTGTGACTAGCAAGACCTGAGTGTAACTAGTAAGACCTATGTGACTAACAAGACCTAAGTGTGACTAGCAAAACCCGAGTGTGACTAGTAACTAGCAAGACCTAAGTGTGACTAGTAAGACCCGAGTGTGGCTAGAAACCAGCAACACGTAAGTGACAAACAAGACCTAAGTGTGACTAGCAGGAATCAAAATTGACTGGCAAGACTCAAGTGTGGCTAGCAAGATCCCCTTATGTTCAGACAATCTTCCGCAATAAACATTGGAGATTTCAAGCCCACAAGATATATTTCCCCAAGTTTTTTTTTTTTTTTTTTTTCAATTTAAACTTGGGGATTGTCTCATACACGGAATTGGTTTAAAATATTGTCTTTATTTTGAGCTAAACAAAAATAGTGGTCGTCTTATACATGGAGATGTCTTTTACACAGAAAAATGTGGTACTTCTTTGAAACTACACAAAAATAAATCTGAAGCCAAAAGTTAGGTTTGTCAATCTGAGAGTCCTGGTCAGTTTAGAAAAAAAAGTCTCACTGTGGATTCTTCTTCTTCTGAAACTACCATAAAATGGGCAGCTGGCGTGTTGTGGTTTACAGCTAGGCTGTGATAGCTGTATCTTTCTGCCCAACAATCTGATTTAAGTAAAAACTGAATCAGTTGCCTTTTATGACATGCTTGTTAAGCATTTCACTCCAAGAAGCAGAAAAACCGACACACCTGGTTGGGTCTAATTCCCCGTAAATGTCACCTTTCCAACAAATGATCTGACCTGTTTCAAAGATGCAGAGTTAACCGGCTGAGTGCATGCCTGCGCAAACATTTAGAAGGTCATGATATGAATACACAAACTATCAGTTGTCTTTAGAGGGGTCTTTCTTTGAGCTAAATGGCTTTTTGAAAGCCACGATGACATCAGATATTCTTGTAAGTCTCTAGTCTAGTCACAGGATCACTTTATACTGTGTTTTTTAGGTGTCAGGAAATGTATTCAATTTAATGCTTCACCCTGTTTATGCTTATTGCTTACTTAATTCATATATATTTATACATTTCGACAATTTTAAAATGTTGACATATACATTTTAAACAAATTTATTAGTGACCCATATACACATTTTTTTGTTGTGTGGATTTTTTTCAGGAATCCTGATGGGATCATGACTTATTATTATTTTCTGTAAGAGTTCTTAGGGTGAAAGGGTAAAGAGGCAGTGCTCCCCTTCCTAATGGGGCTCCAGAACCCACAAGGGATTCAAACCCAAGAGGTCAGTTTGATGGTGAAGCACTTAGCCACTGATCTGTACTAAGGAAACAACAAATGTGTGAACTCTTCAGCCTCATATGTACCTGAATGTAAGGTTCCCAGCCTTGTCTGCCCTCCAAGCTTTGACCAGAGAAAAATCTCCAGTGATGGCTTCTTCCATGACATAGTTAATGCCACTGAACTGCCGGCTCTGCACCAAAGTGAAAACAGATGATGGATCAGAATATAAAACAGCTTCCGTAACAATCATGCACTCATTAAATATTCACTGGAAAGTACAAAGAAAGACTTTTTCAAAAACAACTTTCCCCTGTAAGAGACATTCTTCACATTAGCTTTTTGTTTCCAAATTGTTTAGTTTAGTTTTTTCTGTCTTCTTTTTTACGTCCTCTTTTACCGCTTCGGGTGTCCATGGTGATACAAGGTCCTGCTTCGTGATTTTCTGGCTGCTTTGACCAAAGACACATCATGATACTGTAGTGTTTCTTTGATGTTATCCTTCCATGTCGTTCTTGGTCTACCTCTTGCTATACGTTTCTCTCCTCTTTCGGAATATGCCTTGAATGGTATAGCATCAGAAAGCATTCTCTCCAAATGAGCAAACCATTTGATTTGCTGTCTTTTTTTTGTAATTTAGAATTGGTTCTGGGCCGAATTTATCTGGTATGACCTTATTCCTGATTTTACCCCTTCTGGTCACTCCTACAGCCTTTCTCAGACAGCTCATTTCTATGGTAACTTCTGTACTACAGTGTTATTATTGTAACTCTTTCTGAGCTACACACAGCCTTCTTTGAGGCAGAACTTAGGGGTAGAATCAGCAAAAGTAGTTGCTGGCAGATAATGACATGGCTAAATGTTTGAGTCCAAAACAATGCACGGTGCATGATATGCTTTAGTCCAGATAACCCAGACAACATACAGTCTGGCATGACAAACACTCTTGAAATCTGGACAGTTATTTTAATACACAGTCTATGTTTTCTGCAGAGTATCTAAGTGCTTTCTCTTAAAGGTAAAAGGTAAAGGTCAAGTCGGGAGATGTGAACCAGCATCATTGCACACAGTTATAAACCATAAGTGCTCTGCCACCAGTCAGGCACAGCTGACAAAAAAACTGTCGGCCTGTGTCGCCGTCCGCACGAAACTCCGTAGCTACAGCGACGTTCCTCCATTTACCCCAGAGTGTTAACTCTGGTACCCATTTCCTAGAGACTGCGTGAATCCCAGGAACAGCCCGGTTTCGAACACCGGCCGTGGGCTGCAGCTTGTGGCAGCTAGATTTGAAAGTGAGTCTCCTATCGACTGCGCTAACACAGTCTCTTAAAGTTATGCACTCTATATGGCTATCATTTCTATTGGATTTCTTCAAAACCTTGTGGGACTGAAAGGGTTCATAGATAAATAAATATTATATATATATATATATATATATATATATATATATATATATATAATATATATATATATATATATATATATATATATATATATATATTTATATTTATATATATATATATATATATATTTATATGTGTGTGTGTGTATATATATATATGTGTGTGTACATATATGCACAGGATTATTCAAAATGATGGATACACTTTCATTCATGTACATGTCCTTGAATATATATTACATCTGAATAATGTACACCACATTAGAGTTTCAAATACTACCGCTAGCTAGAGCCGACCTGCAGAACAGTATCACAGCTGCAGTGAACTTAATTATGCAAAAGAAGCTTCTTCAAGTCTGGGATGAGTTCGGCTACTGCTCAGATGTTTACTGAGCAGCAGCCATAATGAAAATCTATAACCTCTATTGTAGGTTTGTAAACTTTAGACTTTCCCCTCTCTCTTGTATGTATTTTATAAATATGTAACGTATTTTCAAGGAAATATACAGGAATGAACATGTATCCATCATTTTGAATAACCCTGTAGGATAAATGGTAAAGACAGTCTGATGTCCTTGGTATGTAAAGTGTTAGCCTTCACAAATTCTAGGCCACAATATATCAGGTAGAGTGGCTGGTTCTTGTTTTTCACAGACAATTCTGAAAATGTGTGTCAGGTTGAGTCTACCCTGAAGCTGTTGCACTGGCTGGAAAAATGAACTCTGTCTCTGCTGGGAATTAACCTGTACTGTGGCTTTTATAAGTTCAATTGCCTTGTCCCCTGAGTTTTCTAGAAACTGCACTGGTAAAGCGTTTGGTTAAAGTGTTTAGTTGTACCTGTGTTTTTTCTCCTTTTGCTCTGGTGAGGTATCTAGTCTCAGTTTATGTTGTATCTGTTTTCCTACAAGCATATCATCAAAGGTGACTAATTAGGATATTTCTAATGTATTGAGCCAAAAGGCACAGGTATGGCAGCCTAGCTGTAAACCGCAACAAGTGCCCTAAACAAAACTGCCTTTTTAAAGGCAAATGCAAAAGAAGAAGTACTTTTTGATATCCTGCAGTCACTCCTATTTATGTCATACTTTAGTTTGTTGAACATCTCCGTAACATATTAATTCTCACATTAATCTCATTTTCACCACGGTGACAGACACACCAGCAGAGACATCGAACAAGACAGATATGTAGCAAGTAAATAACCATTACAATAAAGTGAACAGATACAAATACACAAAACAATAATTAACAAAAAAAAAAACATATATTAGGAATGTACTTTTTTATGTTAACTTTTTGATACACCTTTAACATCTTATTTGCAGCACTGCCAGGAATGTTTCCAAAACAATATTACCGGTAACAATTTAAGACATAAGTAATATATACAATGCCCAGTATAAGTTAATATGCAAACAATACAGATTTAAAAAAACATAAACACAATAAAACGGGCTTTTAGCTTAGAAATGTGGACAATGATAAAGCAATGGCTAAAAATGGAGTACGGCAAAATTACTGTTTCAATATTGTGTAAATACAAATTACATTTATATTTACACATTACATACACAAAAATGTTTCTGTATAAACAGTCGCAAATATATTGTCATTGCATATTTATAAAAAGTACAATAGATATTTTATCAGCTAGAAAAAAACAGTAACTGTCATACTAGGTAAGACAAAATATTGCTGACAAATGTCCCAGGGCTGGAATATAGGAGTATGTATTTGTACAGAAAACAGAAAAATGTGTACAAATAAGGCAGAACGGAATGTATGTCAAGAAGAAATCACATAACATATAAATTGTCCCTTCATAGAATATGTATGTTCAACACATTTTACTTATTATCATCACATGATCTGTGTCAACAGAACATGTTCTTTTACTTTGAGCTCAAGACAGTTGAGAGGACAAGTCTTCAACTGTCCTTTCAAAAAATGTAAATTGCTTTGGCTGAATATAGGAGAACCAGGGAGAGCAAGAGAGGGAAAGTTAAATGAGAAAGGAAAGAGAAGAGAAAGGAAAGAGAGAGCAAAAGGAGGGAAGGAAAGAGAAATAAATAGATGCCTGTAATAAATAAAAGCAGGGGTTTCTGCAGAACCCATTCACAAGCAAGTATATAAACTATTTTGCTACCATGGCTTCTTTCTCTTTCATACATACTGCATATTTATATTAACTGGCCCATTAGTTAGCCAAACACTGTCACACCTTACTGAGAGATTAGAGCCTAGATAACTGGCCCAAAAGTCTGCCAAATACTGTCGCAACTTACTCAGCCCAAATGTGTACATCACTGAGAGGTCTCTGTGGCTAAGTAGTTAAGCTGCTAGCCTTATGCACTGAAAAGGTCCAGGGTTTCTGCATTGTTTGGTTGATGAGTATAATCATTGTTTGGTTGATGAGTATAATCATTGTTTGGTTGATGAGTATAATCATTGTTTGGTTGATGAGTATAATCATTGTTTGGTTGATGAGTATAATCATTGTTTGGTTGATGAGTATAATCATTGTTTGGTTGATGAGTATAATCATTGTTTGGTTGATGAGTATAATCATTGTTTGGTTGATGAGTATAATAGTTGTTTGGTTCATGAGTGCAATATTTACGGAGATCTCTTGAGATCGTTGCTGATGTTGTAGTGCATGTGCATTGTGTGATGCTCTTGGGAGGCAGCCATCAGCTCTGCAGAGATAGACCCAGCCAAATAGGATAGAAACCTGGTGCAATGAAGTCAATTCTCTCAACTTTCGACTTCAACTTTTACTCATCTACACCAATACATGTTTGTAAGCTGTCCTTAATGTTTCACTTGCAGTCTTTGTGCCATGATGTTGATCCATCGTCTAAACCTAAACCTTGCAGTCTGCTGCAGCAGATGTTAATGTGTACTGTAAACCATCTCTTTAACTGTCAATGCTAAACCAGACAGACAAGATCCAACAAAGAATTTGTAAGAAGTGTTATGCTGAAGAATATTAAACATAACTGGAAATGTCAACAAATATGTACATGATTTACCAAAGAATATAAACAGAAACAAAAAAAGAATTTATCAATGCTGTTTCACTTATTAGACATAATTAAAGCTATTCTTCCCAGGGTGACTCTGTGGTCCCAAATGGGGAGTGGGGGGAGAAGAAAAATAGACCCACCTCCTTAACAAGCACGTCATACAAAGTGACTAATTAATAATTTCCTGAAACTGGATGTCTTGGGTTGAAAGGTGCAGATTTCACACAACCATTAAACAACATACCAACCACCCTTTTCTTCTACATCTCGTCTGAAGATGTAAATGTGTTTTGGGGCAACGAACAGATTAGCACCCCCCCCCCCCCAAAAAAAAAAAAAACACTTCCCAGCATGCTGTAACAGTGGTGATTCCTTCAAAATCGGAGTGCATCCGCCTAAGAGGCAAGGAACCAACTGCCTGCATACAAATAAGCCAGATATGTTAAATGGCATTTACGGGCTGTCAACTCACATGAAAAGTTCTGGTTGTTCATCTGCTTATGAAAAGCGTCTTGTCCCAGAACTTGAGCTTTCCGTGCAAAATTAGCAGACTGTAAGGACCCAAACTGGACACAGTAACCCACATGGGAAACACAAAACTATTTCTGCAAGAACAACCAAGGTCTAGAAGTGGACAAACTAGAACTTTCCGGCAGAGTTCACAGATAAGAAGAAGACGAGAAGGAGGGTTGGCAGGCAAGGATCTCGCCACCGTAATACCACAGTAACCATGAGATGCATGTAGTAAGCTAAATAAACTGTTAC